TGCTACTCAGCTATATTTAGCATATATAATATTGTTTTAAAATTTCTTTTTGATATTAGCTAGATATAGATATGTAGACAGGCTAGCATTTAACTTGTTATCTACTTTTTGTACTCAAGAGATGTTGTTTCTTTCACTATGTATTTTATATCTATTAATATACAAATAAATAAAGAAATGATGTTTACCTATCAGAAAAAAATAATAATAATAATTTATTTAAAAAATTAAATTAAAATAAAATAAAAAATTATTGAAACATATTTTATGTTACATATATAAATTTATATATATAATTTTAATATAAAATTTGATTTTTTAAAAAGTCAATTATTTAAATAAAAATAAAATTAATTTTGTATTTATTAATGATTTTGGTTTTTATTTGAATGTTTTTTGTAATATTGTTAAATTCAAAAAAAAAGTCAATATATTATTTATATATACAGTATATGTTTTTTAATGATTTAATTACTAAATTAAAATATTCGATAATGTATATTTTTCTATTAAAAAAAAAAAAAAGAAAATTATAATTTTTTCTTAAAGTCAATTATAATTAATTTACAAAAAATTGATATATTAAAAACTGTCCATTTTGAGTAATTGAAAAATCATTTAAACATTTATTTTACCTTTAAACATTATTTATTACAAAATTTTTGTTATAAAAAAATTTTTTTTTTATTTTAATTACAATTAATTTGATATTCAAAGTGATTGATAAGAAACATAACCAAAATTCTTTAAATAGATAATTAAAATCGTATAAATATATATAAACAAACTATTGAAAATAAAGCCAATCGATAAAAAAACAAATAACTATTATTATTAATTATTATTAATTATCTAAAATTACATGTGAAATGCCCTAGTCTGTGACATAAAATTATTAAATATTAATGGATAATGTAAAATTAATGCTATATAAAGCCTATCGTTATACGTCAAGAAATATTAGCCTTCTCGATAAGGTATTAATCGAACTAATTCACATCTCTATAAAGTCGATCTATTATCATGGATACTAACTCTATTTGCGGTCGGTCCGAAGGATCAAATGCCCACATACTCTTAATAGTTTCACTCCATTTCGGGTCTTTAGGATATTCTGGAACGTTCTCAAAATTTTTCTTTTCTAAATGTTTGTAGAGATCGGTGATTTCTACATCCTTATACGGCACCGTCCCTGTCCCTTGTGCAATTTCCCAAAGGAGTAGACCCAAACTGTATATGTCAGAATGTTTTTTATAAACATGCTTCCCATCTCCTTTGAGTCTTTGTGGATCATGCCATCTTTTCCAATTGACGCCTTCAGCTTTCAAGGGTTCAGGCATTACAGTAGTCTGAAATTCAATCGTCGACCTACTCCACAAGAAATTACCAATTTTGGACTTTATTCCAGTTTCTTCTTGAAATAGGAAGACATTCTACTTCTCAAATCTAGGTGTAATATATCATACTATAGAGAAAAAGGCAGTTAGTCAATATCAGCATACACATTAATATAATAAACAAAAGCGCTAGAAAATATATGTTTACTTTATGTAGAAATTCCACAGCGGTAACAATTTCCCGTGACATTTTCATCTTTCTTTGCCAAGTAAAAAGTGTCGAATTAGTATTTTTTTTTAGATAGTTAAAGAGATCGCCTTGGTCCGGCCATTCAAAGATTAGGACCATTTTGCATTGGAGGAAAGAACACCCTCGGAATGCAATAATGTTCTCGCAGCTATTAAGTTCGAACCGGTCGTAAAGATGAATCGTCTTTTCCATGCATTCCAAATTGTGATTACTATTGCAGTTCCTTAAAGTGTATCCTGCAACATCCTCATTATGTAAGATATATTTGGTAATTTTAAAAAGATTATCCAAGTTATTCTGCAAACGATACTCCTGATTAATAGATTCCAGATCAATGGTTCTGATTAGTTTATTTTTATACCAACGATTCATTTCATGATCTTCTCGACAACAGAGTTTTTCATATAGTTTTCTTGATTTTTCAAATTCCCCTAATACTGGTTGGACCAGAATGGAAAAATTTCTTTCGTATGATGCTTTGCATATACAATCAACTAATTTTCCAAGATGTTCGTTGAAATCTTTGGCGGCATCATAATATCTGTATAACAGTATTATAAATAGATGTAATAGATCGGTGTGTAAAATCGCGCAGAATGCATACCTTCTGATGTATTGATAGTCATTGGCAAGGTATTTTGCTTGTAACGTCCGTGTCTTAATATTAAGAGCATTTTGAGCGTTCATATCCACCACTAAATAAGATTTCTCGAATTATGAACAACAATATATATCAAGGGGACACTATTAATAGAATTAAAGAAACTTGCCAAAACAGTAACGAACGAGTAGCCTTAATAGGTGAATGTACATTGCGGCATGGTTTTCCGTAACATTTGTCAGCCGTTTTTTCTGATCAACGTTATCCCATTCGTAGTACAATCTATCCAAGGCATCCATGTATTCCCTCATTTTCTCACCGATGTTTCTTACTTCTTCAATAAAGAAATGTTTTCGTTCAGATTCTTCCACGTTTTCAATGAAGTTACTGAGAATCCTATACACCTTATATATTTCATCCATCGTAGGCACCTCAACCGTACTTCTGACTTTAGCACAGAGGAGTGGCGGCGAGGTTGAGAATGGAGGCGAAGATGATAGCGGAGACGGAATTGATAATGAGGGCGAGGTTGATAATGGAGGCGAAGTTGATAATGGAGGCGAAGTTGATAATAAAGGTGAAGTTGATAATGGAGGTGAAGTTGAAGGTATAAGTGAAGGCGAGGATAGAGGCGAAAATACGGGTGACAGCAGGGGTTTCGTAGTATATTTGTCACGATGTTCTTCACATATCCATAAAATTTCGTCATCATTATGAACGCATCGAGACAGGTTACCATAAGGATCGGTGCTTCTTTGAACGTCAATATAATCTATAAAAAAGAAAATATAAGATATAAGAAAAACCTTTGTGACCATCAAAGAACATCGATAAGATATTATTTCATATACTTTTTAAGGCATGAAGACCTGATCCGTTTATCACTGACAAAGATCCATCAACCATGTCTAATGGCATAAACTCTGGTTCATAATCAGTCAATTCACTAACGTTATGTTCTATTACATTAATAACGTCATTGAAATATTTTAAGAGGTCACTTCCATCCTTTATGTCAAAAATGCCCGCGAACAGGTTTACCAGATCTGGTGGGAAGAGAGTCATGATTCCAAGAAATCTTGATAAGATCTGTAGGCTTCGAACGTAAAAGGTAAAAATAAGATTAAAAAATTTTTTGATTTTCTAAAAATTTTTTTTACCATAGTTTAACCCAGGGACCTAAATTAAATCGATCAGTAATAAGTTCAAGGTACATTGTTTTTTTTCTTATAATAATAATTCCATACCATATTTTTTAATGAAACCGGGCACTTTAAGCAGCCTGTATGGTTCTTGGTTCGGCACGTGCCAATGATCCTTATCTTCGCAAACAAAATATAATTTGAATGTTTGCGCACACCATGTCCTTTTACAACAAATTATACAATGTTTAACAAGAATTATATAAACAGTGCTAATGAACACAAAAGAAAAAGCTTACTGAGGATTTTTCCAGTCCGTCCTTTCAGGAATGATCACGAATATTCTCGGGATCGGTTCATTTTTTAATTTAACCAACTATTGAAAATTCATTTAGTACATTGACATTTTTCTATTAACATACATCTGTGTCAATTACAATTACCCATTGTGGAATTTTCCTGGTCAGATCCTGTACTGCGTTCACACAGCGATCGATTCCATCCAGAATTTTCATTTGATTGTTAATAAATTTATCCTAGAAATTTTTATTTCCCATATACAGTAATTAGTATATGCATGTTATTACATGTCTAAATTACATACTATACTTGCAATCTCCATGTGTGATCCTTAAAAAAAAGTTGTTTTTTTAAATAAAATAAAATAACAAATTAAAAGTTTATTGCCTCAATATCTACCTTCCACGGGATCGGCATTAAAAATCGATGTATTGTTTAGACCAGGAATCTGGCGCCGACAACTTTCATGGAAAATGGAGTCGAAATCCTAAATTGACACTATGTTAATTGGATTATGTAGATGAACAGCGACGAAAATAACACTCATTAGTTACCTTTATAAATTGCGCTAGTTTCATGCGTGACAACATATTTTTGTCCACCAATTTTTTTATTATTGAACCAAATTCGGGATTTTGAACTTCATCCAGTTCTGACGAAGATGTTATGATTTGTTTAATACTCATGTTTTTTCCATGCCAGTAATGTTTTCCAGTCTCCATAAATATTAGGATTAAACCAAATGAAAATATATCCATGGCAGAACGTGCTTCAATACATTGATCCTCCTCATGTGCTCGAAGTACCTCGGGACTTGAATAGTTTGTAGGCATAATTTTAACTTTAGCAAGGATGGTACATGCATTACCAAAATCTATCAATTTCCAGGATCCTCCAGTATGTTTGGGGAAGAACATGATGTTCTCGGGGGACAACTTCAAGTGAGCTGTGTATTAAGAGAGGGGAGAGAAGATGTCGCATGCTTAATTTCACGCGGCAATCATGAACTAATATGAATAATGAAATGTACCAATGTTTTTTGAATTCAACTCCAAAAGACCTGAGGCTATGTCCTACATAGAGTAAGGTGAATGAACATGCGTACTCACGACTGATGATGGGGAAATGTCGAATAAAAAAAGAAAGAATATTACCATTATAATTGAAATTTTTTCTTTTCGTTCTAACAAATTTTTTTGATTGCTAATATGACTTTCTAGGCTATAAGAAGCACATTCATATATGATATTGTAGCTTTCGGAATAACAATTAAGAAACTTCACTATATGCTATAAAAATAAGAGATTTTTGTGTTAGAAAAACGTCAGTAACGCTTTGATTCATTACAATAACTTAAGGCTTAACCTCAGAATCCTTAAATTTTCTTAATATATCTAATTCTTTTTCAAACAGTTTCTCGTTTGTAAAATTTTTAATTATATAATCAGCTTGTGTGTGATCGTCAATAAATGCTATAAAAACATTCAATCTTTTTCCATGTCTTAAAATTCGAAGATTCTTGCCGTTCAAGTCTAGGGAGAAAGAGATGATGATGTTTGAACTTTGACATATCATGACGGGTTACGTTGAAACTATGATCGATATAATAAATACCTCTGGTTTCATTTTCACTCTTCAGTGACGCAGATGCGTTGAAAAATCGCGATAGTGACATGATTCAGGATAAATATTGTAAGAAAGTGTCTAGGGTTAATGGTTCGCCGAAACGATGAATTTTGTACTGCACACGTAAATCGGTTTGGCATTCCGAATTGCAACCAAAAAAGGCTTTTCAAATGGCATGATTCTTCATTTGACCGAATCTCTCGGGGTTCGGAACACTTGGACGTGAGGTGTTACGTGCAAGATTTAAACGAAATTATAGCAATGATCGTCAATTGTAGGTTCAATGGCTCCGTAAACAATGCGCACGGCGCGTAGGTTTACCACGATTGTATATTTTTTTATGTTCAATGAATGACTTTGTTACCTTTTTTTTTCCGTTACATACAACTATTACTTGTGTGCATTGATGACATTGATATGTTCATGATAAAGCTGCGTTATCTTTTCATTATCCATGAAATTAAATCCGATAAAAACAAATAAAGTTGGTCTTTACTATTCAAACCGGATCCCATATAGGTTCAAATCCCAAAGTCAGGCCACGCCTGACCCTCTGTCAAATGTTTGAGCAAGATATTTCGAGCACCATTCACACCCCTGTCGATTTTTCCAAATCACATGAATCACATTTGAACGTCTTTGATCCACCGAGATTGTTTTTTATGAATCCACAATTCCCACATGTTTTTGTTCTGATTCCTAGGTACATTCAATGATCTTACAAACGCTGAACTCCCTTGCCTTATTATGTAAAAACATCCGAAGCCTAAAATGAGACCAAGTCAGCATCACACGAGCAGTCTTTCGCTTGTTCTTTAAAACCATCCTTGAAGATTCGAACTTGGGTAAAATATGCCGATGATGGTGCATTTGGAAACGTCTTAAAATCGGATAATATTCATTCATATAAAGTTGGTTGATGTACATTATAATGTGATATAGATAACAAACAACATGGCAGAATTTAGGCTGTAACTCACTCCTACATTCACAACTTTTTGTTTCAGGCGCGACTCATGAAAAATTGTTGAGATATTCTTTTTTCATTGTCAGAAATCGATATTGTTCCGTGACACGCAATTTCTTGGATTGATTTCAGTGTTATTGCTACTTTCCACGAATACCAAAGATAAAACGTATACTGGTATTTATTAGGAAATTTGAACATATGACGGAAATTTTATGCATCTCATAGTAGTCGATGCATTTCATTCTTGTTCTCTGAATGATTGGATGATACCAATGATCGATCACTTGATGCTTCTACTGCATTCTTCCGTGATCAAAGATTCGATGAAAGATTTCGAAAGCGAAACATTAAACTAATAAATACTATTCATGAAACTCAATATAACAGAGATTGATAAAAAATTCAAAAGAAAATCTTGATATAGCGGAATGAGACTCGAATTAATATAATAAATTAACGGGTTTAATATTAAAATTTCGTTATATCATCATCACCATTATTATAAAATTGAGAATATGAATTTTTGTATCTATAAATTATTTAGTCATCGTGCCTCGAACACTAATGCAAAGAAAGATATCTTTCACACCATCGGTCGATCTAAATTGATTAAAGAATTTTGAAATTAATTACTTTCGAGCGGATAGAATGATTAATAATTGAATTGATACCCTACCTCTTTGCAAACGGCATCAATTTTCTTGTAGCTCTTGGTGTCTCGAGGATCATTCCTTTTCATAATCTTTTTCACATTAGACTTGCATAGTATGCAGAAATCCTCGAGATTATTACATTTTGAAATCACCTGGAAATTCGAGTTGAAAACTGTTACCACGCATTACAATACATTAATTTCGATATATATTTATATAATACCTTGGCAATTCCCTGGTAAGTCACTTTCTTACTAAATACATCGTAGTTTCTAAATATCGCGGTCAGATAAGCAAACTCGGTGGCGACCGATAAGGCGATAATTTTAAACATCACGGGGTCATTATTAAGTTTACTCAGAAATTCCAAACTATCAACAACATGTGAAAGAGCATTTAGAGTCATGGCGGACTGACAATTTAACGCCAACTCCTTATTCATGGGCTCCATTAATTCGGAAACGTTAGTAACATATTGAGACCAAATTGCACTTGGCCAGTAGACTCTGTTTTGATAAAAATCGTTCCGGAAATCTTTCATAATGTCCAATTTCTGCAGAAAAAACGATAGGGATTTAAGGCTATTTAAGTGAAAAAAGTAATGTTAACTGGTATGCTCGCAATTTCAAGCGCATATTAGGTAATCCGGGATTTAAAATAGTCATTATTCTACCAAATCCGAAGCAGAAAACAGAACAAACATGGAAACAGTATTTGTCATAATCTTCTACGGTGACCACGTAGTATTTTGATTTTTCTCGGAGTAGAATGTAATCTGCCATCCCATTGCCCATATCTTTTGCGGCATCAGCAATGATATCTCGAATTCTGTTAAAATGCGTTAGAAAGTTAATGTCTTACCGAGGTTTCTTATATACATTTCATGAACACTTACTCTTCACTAAATGATAAAAACTCTTCGATGATAATATCAAATTCTACTAGCAATTGACGATGCTTTTCATCTGGTCCATCTAATTATAAGAATTCGAATTATTAAATGGAATCTCTATCTGTCAATGAGAGATTAAATCTCTTTTCAATATATTTATATATTAGACAACTCACTTTCGTTGAAGGTCCATCCTCTCTGAAAGATGATTTCGTGAAAATTTCTTAGTAAAGGTATTTTCTTTTCGATGGGGATGGTCATATCATCTTCGATGGTGTCCATTCCACGTAAAAGCATATAGTATATACACGCTATATGATTCGCCTCTTTGTCTAATGTAGACACCATGCGTCTATACGAATTGGATACCAGTTTCATTAATTCGTGACTTCTTTCTCTTCTTTTCTCAGGGGATAATTGATTCGCGGGGGTGCTGACGACGACGACAGGGGTTGAAGCGCCCTTTTGAGGGAAGAAGAATGCCATGAGATTTTTCATGGACATATCTTTGGCATTCCATGATTTCTTCTCTGAAAAGTACATTCTTTATGTTAAATGTGAGAATATAAGCTTTTTATTTAGAATAGATTATGTCTTTGGGAATTATTTTTCTTTTTTTCCGTTATATATTTTATTTTATTTTATTTTTATTTTTATTTTTTGTTATTTTTATTGATTTTTTTTTTTTTTCCCTAATTAATAACCAAGTTTTTTGTCGGGGTTTATATCCTTCCGACCTACATAAAGAATCGATCGGCACGAGTGCGGGTCAGTTAGCGTATAACCCAAGAATCTCTGTCAACATTATTTTGAAATAAACGGAAAAACTAAATAATAAGTGGTTCGATCTAACGAATGAGTTTCACTTTTAATGGGAAATTAAATTTAATTCTAGGATAATTTCTATTTAATTTACGCTCATTGATTACACAATAGGAAATTTAATTTTTAAGCCTGGTTTCATTTGATATTAATAAAAAGAAACAGATTAAGGAATAACAACTTTTCCTATTTACCTCTAATCTTTAAGAAATCTGACATAATACTATAAATGTATTAATGCCTAAAAATAGAATCACAAGTTAAACTGGTTAAGTAGGTATAAACGTGATGACGAACATTAGTAATACTTGTTATTTTTAGATACTGTCATTATATTATCACCATACAGATAGATTGACAAACGTTTGGGCCTTAATACTAATCGAAATTTTGTCTTGACGGATAAATTAAATCAATCACATATAATCGATCTACAGGAAATTGAATTGAAAAAATGTCATTTCATATTTTAAACGGTATGGCTTACATAAAAAGTCGATATGCACAGTACACAGTCTGGTCCAAAAAAAATTAAAAAAATAAAATAAAATAAAATATATAACGGAAAAAAAGAAAAATAATTCCCAAAG